ATGAGTGTACGTTGCCCAGGGTGCACCACGTGGAGTTAAGACTTTTATGAATATCATTTAAAATAAACCCTATGCAACTAAAATCTTGACTTTTCAATTCGTTTGAAGGCGCTATAAAATAAGCCTAATTGACGCCGTAAGGTTTTATAAATTATTATTATAAGCTGAGATTGAAATTTATTGGTAGAAAACACGCTGGTAACTTTGTTGCCTTCATCTGTGGCCGGTTTCAACTAGAAAAAAATAATCATCCCCTTGTACTATAGTGAATAAAAGCAAACAGAATTTAAGCCTTCTTCATAAAATCTCTTCCTCAGCACAGGACTGAACTTATCGCTTCAAGAAGTCGTTATATAAATGTTTTATTTTAATGATCAACTTCTGCTTTTCACTTTCATAGGTATATTTAGTATCACCATCAACACACCGGATTCTTATAATACAGCAAAAAATGCATTTTTATTAGTAGATTTGTTGGGAATAACATTTCCTCATTTATATTCGGCGTTTGACACGCTAAAATTCAACTTTTATTTCTATATTGAAATTAAATAAAACTTTTACAAAATGCACAAGCCATTCCCAAAAAGGGTAAATCGACCAGTCAGAATCATTGTCAACAACACTTGAATTCAACATCGTCGCAAGTTGCCATCAACGAATTGACCAAAATCAATGGGAAAAAGAGCTCTATTTTGGTTAAAAAATTGGGAATGATAGTAAAACAACAAATTCACTTTAGCTTTAAATTTGAAAATGAGGCGAAAATGTCCCACTTGTTCGAGATGGAGATTTTAGGAAAAGGCATGCAGAGTTGAAGCACTCTTGATGATAAATGTTTTTTAGCCTCTTTGGATGTCTACCTGGTAGGTCAAATCGAAGTCTTCTTGTGCGATTTAAATAAACTGCCAGTTATTCTGATTTACGAATTTAGTGTGCTCATTTTAACTTCAAGAAAATTAAACTTAAGCTTTAATAGCTAAAATTTTGACTAGAATTATTTGTTTTTTTTAATTAATATTCTAGATAAAATGGAGCATAATAAGCTAAACCTGATCGAATTGATGATTCCAGAGGAGAAAAGCAATGATTCAAACATCAATAATCCCTCTGTCATGGAATTAATACGCAATCTAATATCTGGAAGGGCTTCTCCGCCTTTTGGAACTAGAGAACCAATCCTCTACCATCTCCTTCGCAGTTGCTTACTCGCTGAAGATCTCGTAAAGATCTCCATTGTCCTACATATTTCCATTCTTTCGAATTGCTACAACCGAAATCTGGATGTAAGTAAAAATTTTACTTACATTTTAAAATATGCTGTATCAGAATTTCGCATTTTGATTAATACCAAGCCTATTTTGAACTTCATATGCTTTGCTGTTGTTTTCAAATATGTATTTTCCTTTGAATCCTTAATCTATTTGTTTAAATAGTGACATTCCACTTTCATCTACAACAATTAAATCAGAAGCGTTCTCCATCCCTTAATTTTGAGTCTAAATTAACTAGAAGCTTAAAAAGTTCTTTTCCTTTTCTGGCTTATTGGCAGATCAATAAATATGGTCTTATCTAATTGATTAATCTCCATGGTTCAGTGTTCTATGCACTCGCTAGAAACTCTTCAACTTACTGCGGAGTGAATACAGCTTGTCTAATGAAAGAAAGACAGCCTATCCGACTGGAATTTATCTAATTTGCATTTTTGCAAGCTACCTATTTAACACAGGCGCTTCGTCTTATTAACAATTCAATTCGCCGACAAAATTTGTCCTCTTTTTTCGACTTAATTAAAAGCCCTTCCACGCACTCAGTGCAGATAACTTCCAGTTAAAATTGTTAAATCCAGTAAATAGTGACGGTGAATTTACTCGGACTTTGTTGGCAAGGTTCATTTTTTGTTCTAGAAAATAATGGTCTACAGTCGTACACTTATCAGTATGACTAGGTGCAGTTTATTTTTTTATTTAAATATTGTTAATTTGCATTTTGAAGACAATCATAAATGTTTCTGTTTCCTTGTAAAGAGTTGAATTTGTTCATTCAATCGCGTCTAATAATGGTTTTTAGGAGTACAGTTTATGTTTTACTTCTGCATGTATTTCAAAGTGCACCCTCAGTTGCATTCTTGCTTTTCAGCTCCTTCAACAAACTTCAAAAATTCAGCATATCTGGAAGCGTCGATCTACCTCTAAATTGCAACGACGACAGGCTTCCTTCACAGAAAGAATTTTCGCGCCAGGTGCTGGACAGTCGAGTAATTTTAGCAGTGTTCGTCTTAGACGTCTTGGAAAGCGAATACAAAGGCGGCGTCTTGCTCATAATAATGATTCCTTCTTCGGACAAGGTTGTGAGGATGCAACCATTTCAGATTCTGAACTCGAATACACCTCAAGCAGCGAACAGTCCTGTACAACAGTGATTTACCTTGGAGGCTCACATCCCCTTAGGAAGTTAAACGCTCCGGAAAGAGTTAAAAGAGTACCTTTGGAGGAAAAGAAAGAGGTGAGCCAACGTTTCAGGAAAAAAATTAATGTCTTTTTCTCCGAGGGGCATGAAAAGTGCAAAGTAATTAGCTTTTGTCCCCGCTTGTCATCCCAAAATTCTTGATTTCCATTCTCAGTGAAAATGGCTTGAGGCTGCATAACAGAGCCTTTTGCACAATTGTGCTTTCTTCTGATGGCATTGCAATTAATCACGTTTGTTTTTAAATAGTTGGAATATGTTCAATGGAAATGAATATTGGTCTTCATTGAAAAAAGCATATATGCGAAATAATAAGATAATTATTTTTGGGCCGATTTAAAATGGATCTCTTACAGTTTTCATCCGGAGGAATTAGTTTGCGTTGAAACAAAAACTAAACTATCCGTTGATAGAAGCTATTTTCACTCTCTGCAATCGTTTTTATTTCACAAGTTTTTATTGTGGTATCACTAATGAAAAACATCCCAACTCGTGATCGAAAAAAGTAGATTATCAACAAACTGAAAGAATAAAAAAACGTGTAAATTCTGAAAACATTGTTAATTACGGCTAATTTCTTCTTATACATATTGGAAAAAAATTGGGACAATCGTATTGGGTCCTAGTAATAACTGCATTTCAGGAAAAGCAAATATCAATTCTACGAAAATAGAACAATAATATAAACGGGCATAATTCAATGAACAAAATAAACAGCAGTAATAGAGGATATTTTTTAACCAATAAGTTATATGATTACCAAATTTGACTATTTCCTTAAAATAAAGCAAAATATTTTTTTACCCACTTTCTTCTTTCTTAGAAAAAAGACAATATGACCACACTCCCATGTTATAAGGCATTAGTTTATTCAAAAATTTAACACAAGATCATGGAAATGCATTTACCATCCATTAATAATGGCATTTTTTCGCATTATATTTTGGCAGCAACCAGTCAGTTGAAGATGACTTCCATTAAATTAAAAAATGATGACCAACCACTGAAGCGTTTATTTGATCCAATTTTTTGCAATCTTGTGATCAATCATTCTTTGTGGAGGCTAAGAAAAATAATTTCTCAGCTAATTAAAACAAATTCATTCATTGGAGTAAAGGATGAATACTACCTATTGAAAATCACTACTTAATCTTAAATCAAACGATTGTTATATATTGTTTCTTTTTTAATTTAACGGGATTTTAATGGTGTTGGATTACTAGTGTTGCTCTAGGAAAAATTGTTTCTCAACAGCTATTTAGATAAGGCGAGGAACTGAGAAAATATAACACTGTAAAAATCTGCCCTGCTCTTTGATAAATAAAATTTAATTTTAAAAGGGGACATAATGCATGCATTGGGATTAACTTGACAAATATAAAATTGACATCCACACGATGGCAAATAAACGTTTGTCCCGGTTTCCATTGGTTCTCTCAACCATGTGATTAATTATTCGTTTGATGTTGATGGGCTGATTAAGCGAGGTTCTTTGGTTCACACTTTTGATCAAAAATGGCATAACTCACAGTGGCGAGTTGATTTTTTTCCCAATGAATGGACGTCATACGCTTGAAATCCGCCGGTGAATATCAGTTTGGCCATGTTTAATTAAAGATGAATTATTCCCACTTTTGGTTTACGTGTGCTTAAAAAGCAGTGATGTTTACATTTTTTATAAACTGCCTACCTTTGTTAACCGAACTGATGAAGGAATATTAATACATAAATCATAAAATTGATGAGCATAAAATTCTATTGATATTTTATTTCCTAATCAAGAGCCTGCTATATTAGACTCCAGAAAGTTCATTTCGGCTGAACATCATATATATTTAAACCCTGAGAAAATACTTAAAAGGTGGATGTTTGAATATCATATGTTTAATCTTTGCAAGTCTTTTGCCATTTTCTCTGCCATTTAACCTAACTGAAAAAACGAGGCATCAGTAGTTATTTTAAAATTATATTTGAGGAGGTGCCAGAACTTTCAAAATCACGTTTTCCAAAGTGTGAAGAAATTAAATAGCAAGGTTTCTTGTCGCACACTGGCCTATTTTTTACCTTTTAATTTACACTATGTTTGAAGAGCTAATTTTAATGCTAAGGGTGAATAATTTCTGGTGCAATGAACCCGTGGGAGAGAATAATACCCTCCTCCCCCCTCCATTGATGAAAGGCCCAACAGATAATTAGTCCAATTTTGGTTAATAACAGCAAAATCATTGGTTAGGGTAATGGGAGGTAAGCACGCGGTTTTATTTAATTGGTTCAATATTTCGATATTGAAAAGACTGTCCTTGAGCAACTTATTTTTAAGCTGAAGATTAACACTATACTTGCAAAAACGCGTAGTCGTTCAGACTAATTAAACAATTTTTTATTTTAGTTTTTCTATTTAGTTTTATATATGCGCAATAGAGTTTGAAACAAAATGCGCAGAAGAACTCTACTACCTAATCAGCCATATCCTCTGTATAATTACTCGAATGAAATATCACTTCGCAGCCATTAATTTTCATAACACAGGCTCTACTTGAGCCATTTTGGCCCATTACACTCGAGTTTAGAGGAAAACGATCACCCAACCACCCAGGGTTTATGCAGAATTAACAATATACTACCAAGGCTTATCCATCAATATCAAGCACAAAACTTCTAAATATGATGTTTAAATGGGTCCCTTTCTCTGTATTGTGTTCCATCCAAATGAAATTGCTTATATGAATGAAGATGTTGAAAGAATAGGAGCTGCTAAATCTACATTGTCCAACTAGGTTTTCCTGTTTCTGTACTCAATCAAATAACAAGGCATTCCATAATTTCCTTTCAAAGAAGAATAATTAACCAAATTAGGCGTTAAGTAATCTCTTATGCTTTAGCCTATTTCAAAAGCGGAGGAGAAAGCGGAACCAGCGCAAGTTCGATCCCCAATGCTCTTGCATCATCGACGGTTCAAGAGTCGTGGGGGGCATAAGGCGCCTACTGGGACAATCACCAATGAACTTTGGGTGGATGGACCAAATGCGATAACCGCTATTCCACTCACTCAACGAGCTGTGGATAAGACATTGCATTCATCATCGAGAGATCGAAGTGAATCGATATCTGAAAGGGAGCAGGTGATTTGTTATTCAACCATATCTTAATAATATATATGACATGCATTGGAAATGAACATAATGGGGGGGGGGGAATATTTTCTTTGTTTATTTTGAATCATCCAAACCCTTCCATTTTGGAAATGCGAATTGCCCTGTTCACCAAGGAAAAAAGTGCCAATTAAAGGAAAGATCAATAATCAATAAAAAAATCGGATATTTTATTGTAAACTTTCGGTAATTTTAAATTCTACGTTTTACTTGATGTTTATTCACTAATTTCGTAAGATAAATGAGAAAAGTATTAGAGAATGCAAATCTATCTTTGATCGAAGTTTAACACTTTCATAACTCAAGAACCATTCACTTAGAAATTTTAATGCCCTTTAGTGCTAGCCAATCAAAATGGAACTAGTTTGGATGAAATTTGTACTTTTTCCTGGTTTTTTTATAAAAGTAATTAATAAACTAGAGATTAAAATAGACGAGTCAAGCGGGGCGTTCAAATTTATGCATCACGTGGATAAATTATAAATTTATTAAAAAACCGACAAAATTTTTAAGCATATTAATCTCGTGTATCAGAAATTCGCCGCAATTTTTCGCTTTGCCATTGCTATTAATTTTTACTTAACGAAGATTTAATTAAAAAATTTACCAATATTAGTAAATCGTTTTGCATACTCCCATTTAAAAGGAAGTTAACAGCGAAAATTTTGAAAACTGCTGAAGCATTGATGAATCTAAAACTTTCGTTTGCACTACGGTGTTACCTGCAGCTCCTATTACTGATTATTTTATATTTTGTTATCAACTTCCTTTTTGCCGTTTTCATTTTTCGAAATATTTCCCCATAATTTGGATTTAAAAGGATTTTTCCCCGGTTACCTGCTTCTGCTTATATTTTAAAACGATTTTAGCTGTAAATAGCTAGTCAGCAAGTAGAAGTAGGAAAAGACAGTAGATGTTTTGCTAATAAACTTAAGAACCAAAATTTTTCATTTAAATCAGTTTTAATTTTGAAGTTTCAATAAATAAATAAGTTATAAACGTACCTATTTCCTTCACCAACAAACTTATATGCTTGATATTGTTTATATTTACTTAAAATGGCAGTGTATGATCGACTTTACAAAAATTTGAATCGATTTTTTAACTGATTACCCATTCTTCTAATTCCTGAATTCTTCTAATCCAAAAGTCTGAAGACCCAAACATCTTGCTTTATTTCAACAGGAACAAAGACAGCAGAGGTAAAAGAATTGCTGCAAAAAGCTTAGGATCGCTATCATCTACTTATCAAAAGCTGCAGAAATCTTCCGTTGTTGCGTTTGGCGCAAATTAATCAGACTGAACGAGGATTTCCCCCCACAGGAAAGACAAAATAACTTTTTTAAATGGGAAGAGAAACAGATATGATGACCACTTATTGTTGCCTAAAATAATCTGTGGATACATAGCACATATTAAATAATTCCAATATTAATATTTATCAATTTAATAAATATATATTTGTATAATAAAAGTGCTTTAATAATTCAAACTTTTCGTGTCGTTTTAGGCTTGATTTAACTAAAACAGTCAATTCTTCCCTTAAATCACCATTTCCTTTTCAACTCAAAGTTGTTTTCATGTTCAAATTGAAGGTTATTTACTGTCGTCTAAGAAAACTTTTGTCTAACATCATGATGATTTAATGTTTCTAGGTTCAATTTTGCGACGGAATTAAACTCTTTTGCTCCGTGTTTCACCGTGTAACACTTTGAGTAAATTTGCTCAAACATATGATTGGATGAAGTAGGAGTTTAAAATCGGGCCTAAAGTCGAGTAAATAGCTATACATCCCGAGAAAACTGTGTGGGTGTGGTTTTTCTTCCGTGACAAAATTACTCCGTGAAAAGAGAACTGTTTCGATAACGGCAAAACTCTTTGCCGTTAAATGTGTTAATCCTCCAATAGCACTTAGTGAGTGAAATAAACCAGACTTACGAATTGTGACAGTGGAATTTTGAAACCAGAGAATATAACTTTAATATTCCCTGATAAATAAAATTACTTTAATATATAGATACAACAGATGAACTTTTGGTGAAATATTTTTCTGGATTATGTTCTTACGTACATGTTCATGCATTGAGAAAGGATCAATAAGCTAGCAATATTGTTTAAATAGGATGTAGAATTTTAGAGACGACGGATCAACAGCAACCATGCTTACTTATCTTATTAAAGGTGCAGTGGGACACAATAGATCCGCTTTCAAAGGAGAAATAGAGACCATTAGGATAGCACTAAGCCAATTATGTTGCCTCGATACAAAATTCACCAAAGCAGTAATCCTTTCGGACTCAGAGTCAGCAATGAACTCAATTGGAAACCGAGAGCCACCCAATACAGCTGAGATGTACGAATGCAAAAAAGCTCTATCAGCTGCTGAGAGAAAAAAACAAAACAGTGGTCCCATAATGAATTCCTGGTCACTGTGGTATTCAAGGTAGTGAGCTTACTGACGTACTTGCTAAGAAGGGGACAGCAAGGCATAGACCGGCCGATGTCTTTCCACACAATGAAGACTTAATCAGGAGAATTTAAGACCTCAAGGTGCAGCGAACTTAAAGCTTGAACAAAGGGGAAACAGTGGACAGTGTCACTCTCCGACATATCCGACTGACCAAGAATCGAAGCCGTTGCTGAGTTTAGACTACGTATCGGACACGATTGCCTGGTGAAACAAATTCACAGATTGGGAGTATACACTCAACCCACATGCCCTCTATGCAACCTACAGGAGGAAATGGAGAAGACCCACCTGATTCGGTGTCCAGCTCTAAAGACAAGGATGGAAAGCCAGAGATACTGGGAAGCAAGAAGACAGCTAATGAACTGCTATTACTTAACTGCTATATATGTACCCCCCACCCATGGCGTAATGAACTGCTATTACTTAACTGCTATATATGTACCCCCCACCCATGGCGAAAGCTGAAGTCAAAGTTTAAGGGCTAATGATAAATATCATAAAGCCTGCCATTTGAAATAATAATAATATTATTGAAGGTTATATGTTCGCTACCCATCAGAATCGCCCTGATAAGTACAATAACTCAATGATGCAAAGAGGAGTGTTGGAATATTTTTTTTCAAAAATGGCTATTGGTAATTATAAATCAAATAACATGCATTTAAATAATTACTAATATCAATATTATATGAGAACGATTGGCGCTGCAATGAACCTTATAAAGTTCTCACTAATTTCTGATTTTCTTTTGAATCTTTAAAATAAAAGGTTAGATATGTATGCGAAATGCCGAAAAAAATTATAGTGAATAAAATGCATCAGGTGGTCGGTCTGTTCAACTGTTTGGAATTATCTCGCATCATCTCCGAATTCGTTTCGGCCAGTGCTTAAAATTCTGCAACATTTTCAGGCAAACATATGCGGATTTGTAATGAAGGCACGCCCCATAAGGAGTTTCAAGTCCTTGAACAAATATGAATGCGCTACGTTTCAACTTAATAAAATTCGTTAATGCATCATTCTAAGACAAATATATAAATGGATAATTACAGAAATATGCACTTAAATTAATGGAAAACAGATGAAACATTTTAAAACAAAATCTGATTTTTCAAGGATTTTAAAATAAAATTACTTACTATATGCGATTCTTCTCAATTTCGGGGAAAATTATCTGATGGAAATTACTACCAAATCACCACTTATAAATAAAAAGCTATAAATTGAGAAAAGATAATGCCCATTTTTGAAATTTCATACATGAATAGAGTCTTTGTAAAAGGCCACTACATCTAACAGTGCTCTAGTTAAGTTTAAATATGCCTAGTTATCAATTTGAGGAAATCTAAAGAAAATGGATGTTAAAATGGAGTTGGGACAAAAAACATTCCGTACAGTAATGGTGAATTTCTTTTTTTTGCACAATGAATGGCGGGTTACAATTTGAGTAGATTCGTCTTTTCAAAGACAACTCCTTTATTATTTTGACTGAAGCACAACGTGGTGACTCAAAGCCGCCACGTATTTTTACTACCAGGCCAAATCGGCTTGGTATTTGATGTTTAGTTTCTCAGTTTTGATTACTAATACTCTCAAGTATTTTTTATTATTTTGGAGTATTTGAGTAAATTAATTGTTAGATTCGAAGCAACCGAACCACTCTCCTCATTTTAACTCTCTCTAAACAAAAAATACTTTCGCTTTTCCAAATGGTTATATTTGCAGAGTTCGTAAGATCGATGCATCATTATTTAACTATTATCTCCTATTTCGCTTTAGTCCTCTGGAACTCGTGGACGGAGTAATACCACCGAAAAAGGCATTCCGGACGGAAAAGCCTTCAATAATCACGAAAACTTTGAGCGTCAAATTGAGTCTCGAATGCGCAAGTTGAATTGGTCTAACGATCCGCAAGACAGTGCCAAGATTGCTAAACAACTAGAAGCGCTTATCACTCCGAAAACCGATCGAAAAGTGAGAACAGGTGAGCATATTTAATTAATTTATTTAACGACACAAATAACGACTTTTCCCAAATTAAACATGTTACTCCAAAAATTTTTGAGAAAATTTGAAATCTTTCACTAGGGGTGTTACGCGTTTAGTGGTATTAGGAAATTCGCGGAAAAATGTATATTTCTGACTAAATTACTCTGAGAAGTACACGTTAAAAATGAGTTTAACTGAGACGGCTTTTTAATTGGTTGCAAATATTCATCCCCCCCTCAAGTAACAATGTACTCGAAAAATAAGTGGATGTAACTTAAATTTTTTTTTAGTTGCTACCAAAACCCAAAAGTGTGTACTTGGTAGAATGATAACCTATAACTATGAAGCAAAAAACTTCTTCTCTACTCTAATCTGCTATACAGAGGTAGTAAAAGAACATAATTCCAGATGTAATTAGTTTTAAAATGAGAGTATTATCCTTAAACTAGTACATCTTTAAAGACTCCCCCCCCCCCCGATTACACATACTTCAAGTGGATGCACTTGCAAAAACTCTGGAAGAAGCAAAATCTGATTGAAGCCAAAATTTCAAATTCCTTTTGCCAAATCTCCTAAATTACTCTTCACCATTGAACCTAAAGGCCATCCTTACTATAATTCCCCCATATTTTCGTAAACAATTGAAGGGTCGCTTTATATTTTGGAAATGAGCAGTGGTTTTATTTTTTCTCTGTTCGAATTTAAAATAAAATGCATTTATTTGTAAATTTCATGCTTGTGCAGTGAAGTAAAATCTAGTATGCGACTCATAATTAAAGTGAAACATTTTAATTCTCAAAGAATATTTCATTTGTTGGTAAAGTTACTATTCTTTACGCAATATAAAACTTCTGTAATTATGTAAAGAACATTTTTGGGGATCTGAGTAGTATATTAGTCTGACGAATGCAGTCTTTGCAAGTCCATGATCACCGTCTTTTAGACATAAATTGATATCATATGTGTAAGCAGTTATCACTTACAGCGACCGGAGTTTTCATTGGTCAGTGGTAATTCCCTTATTTGTACCCAAAATCACTTTAATTCATAACATGCACTAGGAAAGAGTGAAATCTAATGAAATTTCGAGTGGGAAACATGCTTTCATGGATTAATTAAAGAGGGTCTCATTTTTAACCACAACTTTTTTCCCTTCACATTTTAATTAAAAGTCACTTATTTAGCTCCTTTTCTTCGACTGCATGCAATACAAAAATATTTAATTAGCGCTGAAAGTTACATGATGAAGGGAGTTTCTATTTTTTCAGCAAGTCAATTTTCATTAACATTTTTCATAGTTTGCTTTTAGTGGTTTGGTAAAAAAGAAGATTCATGTTTTATAATGAATTTGAAGTAGCAATACACACTGAGAAGAGGGCAGAATTTTTCACACTTTATTTAAAGTCCATGAATTTAAAGAGCAAGCGTTTTTTCCTAAGCTCGCCTCAACAGCCGCCCCCAAAAGAACAATGTAAGAGTTTCGAACAAATATGGACGATTTTCCTACCACAAAGATATTTTTTATCCATTCTGACGTTTTTACAATAATTTCGTCTGGAGAATTTGGGAGAAATATGACTTTTAATAAGTGGTTATTATATTATTGCTTTCAGTTCTAATATAAACGGAATCAAGTTAGGAAATGGAGTATTTTATCAATTTCCCTGAGTAATGAAAAGGTTCCATCAAATGACACTAGTCACGGATAAGTTTTTTGACATTTTCATTATTATAAATAATATTTATTTATTTCGAATGGCAGGCATTTTGATAGTTATCATTAGCCCTTAGCTGACTTCGAACTTCACAGAGGGGAGAAACATCAAAGTTAGAAAAATTCAAGAGAGTGGATCGAAGAGTGATTTGCAAATTTAAAAGAGGCAGAAATAGTGGTAGGGAGTAGAGTTAGGTGATTACTGTAGAAGTGGTCGACTATGACATACAGTGAGGTCATGGTAGTTTGAAGTCAGAAGTCAACTGCCGATTAATAGACCTTTTTGCCGTATGAGTATACGTTGCCCAGGGTGCACCACGTGAAGGTAAGTCTATCGCACACCCCATTATAAATAATATAAAGTCAGATAATGACATTTTCTAGCCCTCAATATGTAATCACACTCTGCTCCTGCCAACTTGACCTTCAAACGTTGATTGCATAAAAATGACCTTAACTTTAAAATTGGTTTTTGTTGAAAAGATGAAATGGCTAAAAATAACTGCGTTTCCCGCTTTCTGAGTCTGAATCAACTGCAGCGTGGCCACATTAAGTGGTGGCTTGAAAAAGCCACAAATCCCGCAATTTTAAGTAGTATAACTGGTATTATTTTAGTTATTTGTAGAAATGTGGTTATTTGCCAACAAAATGACTACTGCTTTCCGATTACTTAAACATGACAGATTAAACAATGTGTAGTGGTATATATTTACTACTCTATAATACTTTTAGTTCTTTCCAAATTTATATTAACTTTGTGATATAATCTCCCAAGTTCCGAACGGCTATCAATGTAAAAATGAGAGAACAATGGGGAAGGAATAATAATATAATATATATTTAATTATGATGTGGATCGGCCCATCCTAATTAAAGTTATGGACATTGGAATTTCAAATGACCACCTTCTGATAATGGATAATTGTTACTTTTCAAGGCGAATCCTTTCGAGAATCGAGACAACACAAGCAAACTGACCAAATCCAACAGACTTTAAATACCTCCGATTTTCCAACACTGCCGAACTGGAAATATGACGCCATTTCAGCTGTAGCCGCTGGTAATATGCGTGGAGTCAAACCCTTCGTGAAGGAATGGGTGGAGAAGCAGAATCAAGCAATTGCAAATTACCTCGTTGAACAGGTAAAGTTCATTAAGGAGAAAAAGATCGAAGAATTGATCTCCTTGATTATGAATTTCCTCGTTTACTTAGAACTCAGCAAACTGCTAGTTGGGATCTATATAACGTTAATATCAGCAAGATATGGTAAATGAGAAAAAGTCAAGTCACTTTTGAGGGTGGAAGACTTCAGAAACTTATTCATGAACACTTTTAATTGCATTAAGTATGCACAATCGATGTTCCTCGGATAGTAACTGAATGCTTGAGATTAATAATCTCTGGGGCAAGTTTTTAGAATAGGTTTCTTAATATTCCCAATTTACGTCTGTTAATAGTCATAATAATGGCTGTTCCTTGTTAGAAAAGTTAACAGGAGTTGGTTGGGTGAGAGGAAAAAGGAATATATTAGAAAAATGCCACAGAAAGCACAAGCTTTCATTCGACTTGGATTTGAAAATCTTCGTCTTGGGTCACAAGAATTTGAAGTGAATATGTGAAGGCCAGAAGAGCCGAGAGAAGAATTTTCAGCATTGCATTATGGGAAATTTCTGGTGGATATCTGGAACGCATCTTGACTTAACGAATTTTATCATGCATGCGTTGATTCACATATCGTTCAACCCAACGTCACTTTCTATAGATTACGCTACAAGCAGAGCCGCTGAATAGTTCATCGGATTAAATTAGCTTATCTTTGATTGAATTTTATCTCCAAACCACCTTCTGAATGAATAATTAATTCTTGTTCGTTAATTTTTTAATCGGAGATTGCAGAACCCAAATCACTACCATTCTCGTCTGTCGTGTTACCTCCCGCACTATCAGATGGTTTCGCTATCGCAAAAGTTGTGTTGAAATAAAATTCTTGGAAAGGTAGATGTGCTTAACTATAACGAAAACCCACACTGCAAAGAGGAAAAAATAACATCTCACTAATAATTTATCGTCTCCCCCCNCCCCCCCCCCCCCCCCCCACTCCCGGGAATTTTCAGTCTAATCCTCGATCGTCGCTATATTTTCAAATGCTTTTGCCGCGGTAAACGAATGCATTAGCCTTGCGTTACGCGGCATGCTTTACGGTCACACACAGAGGGACAGAGAGAGAGAGAGATACGTATCAGTGGAAGTGGTTTTGAACTGTCCCTGCTAAGCTGGACTGTATGGGTTGACAGGGTTGTCTAAAAGGTAGAACTGTCTCATTACAGGCGATGACTTGTTCTCGTGAGGTCACGGGCGTATCTTAATGCTGAAAGCTTAGATTTAGGACGCTTAATTAGCCATATTTTCATCTGATGTAGATTTAACCTCACATAAAGTAAACTCGCAATACCTAAGCCCACATGATTTAATCATTTGCTCAGTTTTCCATTCACTTAAAAACTTTATGTATACTTGGATTGTTCAATCATGGAAGCAATAATAAATTTACCAAATTTCAGTCGGTGTCTCCCAAACACGGCAGTAAACCATCCCGAGGTGCTACGAAGGCAGATGTCCACTGTCATGCAGCGAATAAGACTTCCGAAACACCACAGCCTTCTCGAAAACATAGGTAAGACTTTCTTTCTACTTCTTTCATAACCTGGAATTCTCTCCCTTGAAGGCGCTAAGAGGTAGAGAGACCATAACCCTATGCATTCTAACCGTAATTAGGCTGAATTTATAATAATTTTCGTTACAATAAGGAGATGAGAAAATATAAGTTAGGGGGTCATCAATATATTCGTAGTGATTATAAGGCACTTGCTTAGCAAAGTATGTTGATGGAATATTTGCACATTTGAATGTCCATATTGTTATTTCAGGAATCATGAGACCAAGAAGCAAGCGGAGGCAGATGACCTGCTATTAAAGGCGAACGACTCTGCCTCTCATTCTCAAAGTCTTCCAAGACATGTTCCCCCTGAGATGCTCTGGACAACTCAACATCATCCTGTTGGCCCAGCACCGGACAATTTGAGTAGAGTAGCTCAATGGGTTGAATCCGTGTCCACATCAGAACAAAATCACCATGCAATACCGAAAGGCTGTCCTAAACATTCACTTCAAAGCTCGCCATTGTGTAAAAGTTGTAATAAAACATCCCCCACCTCCAATCCTCCCGAATCTCCTGAAATTCCGGTTCGAGTAAATTCAGCTCCTGCTGCTCGCTTTCGATCTCATCATGGAGCCAGGGCGATTCATACCATAGAGGAGTGTCAGAAACCCAACCTCAATTCTACTAAAGCCCCTTCAGATCCTCGAAAACCAGACGGTGCTTCGGATCCAGGAATTCATAGAGATAGGTCTTTCAGCTCAATTAGTGGGGTAAATACTAATGCTGAGGGTCCAAAGACGTCACCTCTAAGAAAACCTGTATTAAAGCGTTTCGCTGATCTTTTCGTTTGTTCACCAAGTGTGAATCGGAGACGACAACATTCTGGTTCACATCATCAACAACCTCAACAACAGCCCTCTGGACATGTTAGCAAGATGTGTGTTCCATTTTTCGGTGGAGTTTCAGCAGAGAGTGGAACTGGTGAGTTGGAAGCCGGACCAAATGAAGGAGATCTCACGATCGATTCCGTTGGAATGCTCTTTACTTCAATGAGTAAAGGGAGTGAGACTGCCGGAGATGAAAGTTTATTTCTTGAGCCAGAGAAAATCCGTCGAACGGCGTCCAGTGGTAACCAACAAAGTGCTGAGAAACTTAACGAGGAAACCCAACTGGGAAGATTGCGGATAAAGGTAAATTTAAACTCTATCAATTTCAATGTCCATACAAACTGAATACCTAGAATCGATGTAGTAGTTTCCATTAATGAAGACATGCTGCCATATTTTCGTCATTTGCAGTCCTTACATTGGTATTAATTCTCGAAATGTCGCCATTTCTAGTGACTAGCTCGTTTGTACAGAGGATGAGTAGCATTGTCGGTGTCGTGTCATTTGTCACCTTACCGCCAAGTCCTACAAACATTCCCTCTTTTCTCACTCGTTCCCTCTCACCTCTCCTCATTCTAAGTTTTAGATGTTTGGAGGGGGGGGGGCAGTGTGGAAGGAGGGGGAGGGGGGAGGGGATTAACACCCACCATTAATCCCGCCTACAGATGATTCTCTATGATTTTTCGTACACGTGAATTGTTGTTGCTTCTTTGCGGGGTTGTTATTATTTGCTGAGAGTAGGAATCATTTGTACGGGAATTGGGACACCCTAGTGACAGTGATATTCGAGTCTCTCTTTCTTGCTCTTTGTTTCTATTTTCGGACCAAATTTCTTGTTTGTAACCTAATCTCTGAAGGAGCTGGAGAAACCAGCTCTTGTGAATTCCTAAATGCCAATAAAGTAAACTAATATCCGCTAAGAATTCAATCCAGGTAAACAATTAATGAAGCTATAACTTAAAATCAGAACACCACTGAATATGTCTAATTTCTTGGACGTTGTAATAGATAGCGAATGAATGGGAGACATTGTGGTGCTCCTTTAATTAGGGAATTATCACCTAACATGCGTTAATAATGCGTGAGGGACAATTTTATTGGCGTATAATCACACTTTTCCTCGAATAGATTTCCCCTTATGAGTCTAATTCATTGCAATTCCAACTTGTAACTATTGCCCCGCGTTTTGTTATTGTCGCTTTGTTTACGAGTGAAAACTATAGTATTCTTTTACAACAATAGGGACTATTGCTCAATGCAGGGTGTATCCTTTACCAGTGCATTATTATTTCGCTATGTCTGCTGGTAGTTGATGACATAGACGGAAGGGGGGGGGGAGAGGGCATCTTGTATAATTAGCCAACTGGGTATTTCTAATGAAGAACAGGGTTCGGTGAGCTACCAAAAATATCACATTAGGACAGACGAATTCAAATCTAAGGATATTCCAAGTAGCTATTTTACTTAAAAGATACTGGCTTCGTAGAACATGAAAATATTTATTTATATTTACTGGAAGGTTTTAAGGTAGTTATCATTAGTCCTTTAGTTGAATTCAGGCTTCGCAGGGTTGCAGAAGTCGAGAGGAGGAATAGAAGAGTGATTCACAGATGTTAATTAGACAGATACAAAGATAGAGGAAAGGTAAGGCGAGTACTCTGGAAGCGGTAGAATTTATTTGTATCAAATGACAGGCCTTTTGATAGTTATCATTAGCCCTTTAGTTGACTTTGAGCTCTACAGAGGGAAGGAACTTCAAAGTGAGAAAAATTCGAGAGCAGGAAACAGAAGAGTGATTTACAGATATTAAAGAGATGGACATAAAGGTAGAGAAAAGGGTAAGATTAGTACTGTGGAGGTGGTCGAATATGCATTACAGTGGGATCTTGCTAGTTTGAAGTGAGAAGTCTACTGCCGATTAATAGACTTTGTTGCGGTATGAGTATACGCCATTCAGGGTGCACCATGTGGAGGTAAGTTTATCGCACACTCCGAATTCGAAAATATAGGTTCCTTGAAGTTACTATGTGCGACAAAATTCTTTTCATGAGATATTTGAAATATTTATCCACCGCTGAGGGAGCAATAGATACTGAATAATCGTTAAATGGATTTCAGATAGTGACTTAATCTTTGAAGCGGTTCAAATAATTTCACGTATCTAAAAATGGTTTAAAGAAAAAAAATCATTTTCGTGTTCAACGTAATATGAACAGCTTTTCACTTCTAATCTCACCCCCTCCCTCCCTTTACGAAGATTTTGGAAATGCATGGGAATTGATGAGACTATTTTCTTCAGCCACCCATCCTAGTTAATTAGACTGGAATATATTCTAAGTATCTAGGATATTGCCTCAAATTATGCTATTTGCACTTTACAAAATTGTGTCCTAGCATAATAAACTGTGAAGTTAAGTGAATGAGGACTATCAAATGCATTCAGAATTTAAATAAAACCAGGCACTTCCACCCCACCCCGTCCTGTTTCTTCCTCTATTCTTCTGCTTTCCTCTGATCTGAACTGCAAATTTTCCACTCTTTTAAGACAACTAAATAGAGCAATAAATTTTTGAGTATAATGAAACAGAGGGAGAGATGAGTCCAACTTAGGCTATCAGCTGATAAAAGGAATCTTGCAAGTTTCAGTCATCCAGTGCTACTGAAGGTGGTTTCTAAGTTTGCATTCATAGAGAGATTTAAACGGGGAAAAATAAAAGTATCCCCATGGAGTGCACTTCAAATAATATGTAACTGCAACATACCGAAATTTATTGAGCTAATGACGTAGTTTTACAGTAGGTAACTACATGGTACTATTATTATTGAGCACTGAAGTGAAATAAAATCTTCCTATTATATTATCGGTAAAGTATTTGAGTCTCCCAGATTCATATGTTCTTGATCTTAATTGTTTGTTGAGTGATTTCCGTGGTCAATCATTTCATCTCGATTAGTCCTAATTTTAGTTTTTTTAGTATTGAAAGATTTTTCTGTAACTAATTTATCATGAATCATTCCTAAATGTATATTTATTTATTTATAACAAATGGCAGGCGGTCTGATAGTTATCATTAGCCCTTTATTTGACTTCGGGCTTCACAGAATGAAGGAGGAACATCAAAGTGGGAAGAATTCGGGGGGGGGGGGGAATAGAAGAGTGATTCACGGATGTTAAAGAAATAGACAGACACAAAGACTCAGAAAGGGTAAGAAGAGTACTGTGGTAGGAGTCAAATATGACATACAGTGCGGTTGATGGTAGTTTGAAGTGAGAAGTCAACTGCCGGTTAATAGACATTTTTTGCCGTATGATTATACATTACCCAGGGTCCACCACGAGGAAGTAAGTCTATCCCACACCCCTCATTCCTAAATGTAAGGTAAAGTAAAATTTGTGTAAATTCTTCCAAAATATTAATGAAGTAGAAAATAATCTGTTTGTTTACATAAAACTATACAAATTTTCATCATAGACAAGTTGCCGATCATTCCTTTGAGACATGCCAATCACCACATCAATTTTTTCCGAAAGCAAGTTGGAGAACACCTAGTGGGGTAAGAAATAGCTGTTCCTTCATTGCGTACACGTGTAGATCGGTCAAGTTTTAAAGCAAAGACGGTGAATTAACCCACACTTTAAATTGGAGCCAAAAAAATTTTAAAAATCGCTCTGTTTGCTTTGCTTGTAGGAGGCTGGAACAAAGCATCGATTTGGTTTTTTACAGAGTCCCCTCTTCAGTAAACGTAGTACAGAAAGATATACATTTCCAACGGAATCTGTGAATCCTTCTCAAACAACGCCCTCGTCTAAATACACTTATCCAGTTCAAGCAGCAAACCAGCATCATCAACAAGATAGTATTGCATTTCATTGCCAAGTAGTCCTTGAAAAACCACCTCATACACCCCACTGTCACCATAAATGTGTATCCCAAAGTTCAAGTAGTGGATTGGGGAGTGAACACAGCGAACAACACTCCCTAAGGTGCCATTGTTCCGGAGTCCAAACTGGAAGTCGGATGCGACGATGTCGAATGAGGACTCACAGAAATCGAACTGGAGTTATCGGAAACCCTGAAGTTGAACAAGAAGGAATTGTTTCCACGAAGTATACCAATGGGGAACATGCGAGTAGTGGATATGAGAGTGTTCTACGGGATGATAGCGAACTCTCCTCGCAATCGTCCAGTGGTGGATCGTATCCATGGCCTCCAGTTGGGGCTAAGGAAGCGGGATGTCAAACTACTCCAGGTGACTTTGCGGCCAGTGCACTTGTGATGTCCCAGACGTCTGCGACGATTCCCGAAGTCCTTACAGGGTCTTTTACAGACACAGTCACAGTTTCACAAACTGGAGACACAATGCAGGCATCAACAACTTCAAGAAGTAATCAATTTTTTTATTCAAATTAAAATTACAAACATTATTACGAATAAAAATCATCAGTTTATTTATACTTAATTCACTTATAATCGATTTCCCTAGAAACCGTATAAATAACTGCAACTTAGTGTCCATTTATGTTGACAATATGGGGGATATTCGCAATAAATTAATTCCGATTAAAAAATGAACAATAAAACTTGAAACAACTACTTCAAGAACTGTGGATTCCCTCTCTTACCCAGTTTATTTGGTAATAGATCGTATGACTCATTTCCCTAAAAACGTGCTTAATATTTCTTAAGCATATTCTGCCTGTTCAGGAGCAATTTTTATGTATGTTTTCTTAGTAAATGCACCCTTTGATGCAAATCCCAATTAGCCAGTAATTTCGCGTTGTTGTTTTAAGATGTTTGTCAATTTTTTTACACCTCCAAGAAAAGGCGCAATTTGCCGGCAAAGTACACTCCGCGTCCACCCTAATTTGTAGCTCTTTGGGGTATAATGACAGCAAATGAGTGAAAATTGCATTAGTAGTAGCTTCAGTAAAGCAAATATTTTAATTGCCAAGAGTATGCGTTTTTTCCTAGTAGTTTAAGTGGAGTTTGAAAAGACTGAGCGTCCTGTGGGCTATTAGTTAACCCATTTAAGTAGTAACTGAAATCCAAATGTTATGAAATTGTGAAATTTTTCGAGAAATTTTATTCTGTCATGACAAACTTTGGTAGCATTCTTTGCCTTCGTATTAACCCTTTAACGCCTGAATTATGTTGTTTGTAATACACCCAATCGCACTCACGCGTGCATCACAGCAGACCGAAGACGACGTGATGAGTTTTGGCGGCATCAGAGGAGGGCTATAGAACATGTTTCAAACGGCAATAGTGCCTTCTGTTAGGAGTCTAGTACCAATGAAGCTTATTTTGACACAGGGTCGTACAATCCTAAGGGCGTTAAAGGGTTAATATGGTTCTAGCCAAACAAACTGGCTCCAACTTAGAGTGAATCAATTTACCTCTCTCCTTTTCTACTTTTAATTTTAAAACGATCATAATAGATGGCATAGAAATAGAATAATCTTGTTTAAGTGGGCAAAAAGGATCACTGTAGTAATGTACCCAGCGGTCCTAACATTTTGCTAATTGACAAAGCGCATGTTTCACGCGGCGACAAAAAATTATTGGGGAGCTTGAAGGACAATTGGAAGGGAGTTGGAAATTTCTATAGAAATGAAGCGGGGTCGCCGCAGGTTTTGCATATATATATATATATATATATATATTAATGGAGCGCTGTCACTTATATCAAATGGTTAAAATCTCAATTTAAACATCTATAAATTAGATGGTGAGCTTTGAGGGGCTTTGTTTCGTGGGGTTATAACTAATTATTTAGATATTGCCACGTTAAGAGCATCTTACAAATCTTTGCATGTGACCAGCCAATGCATATTTGATTTATTAGGAATAATTTTCCTGGAATATACCGTAACAATATCACATAAAATGCAGATATAAAGATTGATATATTTAAGTTTCTCATAATATAATTATCTTTTAAAAAAATATTGCAACAAAAAATAGAGCTAATTTATGATTAATTGCTAATTTATTCCGATAAATTTTACAATTCTCTCATCATTTTTATGTCAAGAGAGACACTATCTTGGGGAATTAATTTTCGTTTCGCTTTTCACATGAATAATTGAACCGATTAGCAGCAACATCGTTTTTATTCCCAGACAACCAATATATTTTTTTTTTCAACCTAATGATAGACAAGATGCAATATGATAACACATTGTCTTCTTCTATCACCCACTTTCCCGAAATGTGACAAACTATTTCATTCCTACTTCCATTTTCCCTTATTAGTGTCTGACTACTTTTCTGCGCAGAATTCTCCCCGGGAAAGGCAAAAATTCAAGAATGGAAAAATAACCGTTGTACGACTTAGAAATGATTCCCTATTTTCAAAAAAAACAAGCAAACAAACTATCCTTTGTAGAGAGGCGAGAGATGTAAAAGCTATAACTTTACGTTTTACTTTACATGTAACTAATACTTTCGTGTATATTATGCATCAAAAGTTTACCTAATCGCCTATTTGAACATGAATTAAAAGTGAGTTTGTGTTGGGTAATAACTGCATTAGAATTGTGGACCTCTCCGGGATATTCTCCCCTTGTTCATGGTCAGTGAGCTTTGAAATGCTGTGAAAAATAGTTCAAAGAGAGAAGTGGGGAGATTAAAGGATTCTTGGAAAAATTAAAAATTAAGCACTCTGAAATACCTTCCGCGGTTGACTTAAGTTAGTTAAAACCGACATGGTCACGGAATAAACACAAATCCAAGAACTCAAAGATAACATTTTACCACCATTTTTTTACCATTCAATGAGTTCAAAAATTTAATGAATAATTTACAAAAGCCGCTAATTAATTTTTTATTCCTATAAAATGGTGGAGATGATTTTTCCATACACTCGAGGAGGGGGAGGGAGTCCACTTTTAATCTTTTTTTCAACAGGCGACCAAAGTAATTGATTGATGATGGTGTCTTGTGATTTTGTGTATCGAACCTAAGAGAAGTCACCAATGTCCGATATGTCGCATCTGAATCTGTTTTTTTATTCGGAAGATACAATCAACTACCTAGAAGGGATACGTTTGCAACAAAGCGCTCGAATTTGGACACCAGCATGAAGCGTCGCTCTCTACCTAAAGTTGAAAGTATTAAGAAACTCTTCCATTGTCTCCAGTTCATGGTACGGGAAGTCAATCTTGCGCATTTTCAAAAAGATGCTCACTCGCACCATTGTTATTAGGTGGAAAGTGTAAAAGAGAATGATATTTAGACCACGACAAAAGCCCTCAAATTGAATGCAAGAGAATTGGATAAAATTTCCTCATGAAGTAAACTTTGGAACGTCTTGATTGGCGAAGGCCTAGTGGAATCTGATTTACTAAACTTAATGGGCATAATTTCGGGCCAATTCGAGTTCTACTCAGCTTGGGCTGCATAGATAATGTCTGAAAAATCTGGTGACATTTGGCCCTAAACGTTTGAGAAATGAAACTCTACTTATGTTAATAAAATCTCAAACATTTTGCTTATAATTGAGCAACTACTTGTTTGTTTAAAAATCGAAAGCTATTTTATTTTAGGTCTTGTACCACCATCAGAGATGGTAGGTATTTTTTTGTTTTCCATTTATTATAAGCTACATTAGGCTTCAAATTGCTATAAATCTACCGAAACCCATTTTGCCGCGTAATTGCATTATTGGTAGTCCTTACACAAGGAACTCTACAGTTTTCCGATTTCAACAAATATGAGAATTTTCTGAATAATTGACAATAAAATGTTAACGTGTTTTTGTGGTTGAAGCGAGTTATTTTCCCCCCAATGGGATACAAATCAAGGGCTAATTTGTCCTCATTTTCTCTTATATCGTAATGAAAAATATTTTTTTTATGGCAAAATCGAAATAATTGTAAAGCGTCCTTTTCCTAAATTTAAATTTTTTTCCTAGTCAATTTCAGTATCTCAATTTGATTTGCGCTTCTGAATCAGATAATGTTCACATAGGCCTATTTTTAGCAATAAGATAAATAAACGTTACTCGGTTTAGAGTTAATAAACGATAACTTAACCCAATGCGTGTTTGTTTATTTTTAACATTTTTAATGTGAAAATCATTTGAACTGACCTGCAAAACTACCATTCTCTTTTTGGATCAGTTAGTAGCATATTCACTTTTTAATCATTCGATCAAAATAACTTAATGATTATTGCTAACTATGTAGATATTATCCTGGAAAGTTGGCTTTAGAGACATTGTTACTAAGACAATCAAATTCGGTTTAATGTTTTTCCGGATAGGATGTTCCAAAATTCAGCATAGATAACAAACCTTTAAGTCGATTGGGCAATATTTACATTGTATATATGAGTCGAATATTTGTAGTAACATGAATTTCCTTATAAAGACCAGCTCTACTTCGTTTATTAATAAAGGCAATAGATATCCTAAATCGTAATAACTTAAAGATGATTGGTTAAATTTTCTCCAACCTCGAGAAAGGCTTCATTTATTATGAGGTGCTAAAAGACAATTAATCGATTACTGGTACAGGATCTGCTAAATGATGTGGTACAATGTAGTATAAATGAATTTGAAAGTTCAAAGCGAGTTTCTCATGAATACTATGCATTGATTACAGCTCTCCACTAAATTTCAAATTGATACTCAGATTGACAATTCACATATTAAAGTGCCAAATTTGGCAATAACAAAAAATGATCTTTTTCCTTCCGTTTCCACCCCACTGTAGGGGTCGTTAGAAATAAGAGCATTGTTGGATATCGCGGCAATATGTGCTGAAAGCCAGGACACACTGAGATATGGTATGACGTTGGCCTCTGCTCTCACACTATTTCTCACGTATTTGTCAGGACTAGTTACAGTCATAGGTAAACAACAGTTGAATAATGTCCGTATATGACCGACTGTTCCAATATACTCTCTTATTACCCCGTTGGACAGCAGCAGCAATATAAAGTCCAGACGTGTTTACACGATTTAATTATCGTCGTTAATTATACTTGTCTACTTCCGTTTATATTTCTCCTCTAAGACACTCAACTGGACAGACCAGTGGCTCCATCTCCTTTGCATTTAAAAACAGGCGCCTTCTTGCAAAAAATGAGGATAATTTGTTAGTTCGGCTGATTGTAACTGCCGTTTTTAATTGTAGCGCGTTTTTGGCTTTCACTCAACCTTGCTACAAAGGTATATCCTGAGCCGTTATCTTAAAATGGGATCAATTCCCTTCTTTTTATTACAACTCTGAATGAAATTCAGCTATTAAATAAGTAGTTGAGGGGTGGAATAAATTGAAATATATGATGTATGATAATTGCCACCAATAAAGCGGGTGTACGTGCCGATTCCGCATGACATGATTTTTAGTTAAGAACAAACAAACAGAGTGCAACAGAAATTTTCCGTGTTTAAACAATTATGG